CGGGTTAATGCACTACTATTTATTTCCTGCTGTCTTCATCTCAAATAAATAATTTTGTAAGATGGACAAAATTTCTTGCCATCTTTTTTTTATAGACAAAATTTCTCTTAATATTTAGAGCTTTACATATTTCGAGCGGTGACGCCCTCACTTGGGTTTTACGGTGAAGCAAAACATCGTGAGGAAACAAAATACAGCATACAAAATCTAGCAAGTTGTGGCCAGTATGGTGGACTATGTCCTGACCCCCCCCCACCATTTTTAAAGGGAGGCCCGTGCCCAGCAGTAGGATGTTAAAAAAGGACTGAATACACATACATATTTTCACTTAGATTCGTTATTTTGACTCAAGCCTACATATTTATCCATATTTCAATTTTAAAACAAACTTTTTACTGAAATTAAAATCCAAAAGTCTTAATATACACTCGAATAATAAAATTTTAATTCAGACGGGATAGCGGCTGCAATCAACAGCGAGACAAATGATATGAGTAGTGTATGTGACGCATGAGACAAGAGCTTGACGAATGCGATACCATAAATTAAACACACGTCGTGTGCATTCTAATTAAAAACCTACATACAAAACTTAGCTTAAATACGGTTTTTGTGGTATTGTGTTAAATAGAACGTTTAGATTCTATTTTAAATTGATTTATGTTAATTTTTTATCTCTGTTACTGTTGATTTGTACAGAAGTAGCAATTATTCCGTGGTCAAGTCCTAGAAATACGACCTTTTGCCACTCGTATAGTCAAGTTGTTAGTTATTTTCAGGACTCACCTGTGTGTCGGAAATGCTGATAGAGTTTTTGACAAACAAAGGGGTTTTCTAAAATATCTTTACTGAATAAAAAATATATTTTTTGTCATGTTTCATATAGTACGTAATACTAAAGGTGTTTACGTAATCACTACATATCTATACATACATATAATAAAATTGTAACTAAGCAAAATCTGTACATTAAATATTTTATAGAAAATCCTATTGTCGCTAGTTATAAATAAAAATCTCCCGAGATTGTTTTGTTCGTCTAATCTCAGATACTACTGTATGGATTTTCATACAATTATGTAGAACGGTTATAAGGTTAGGTATAATCCTTAAAAAAATGGGTAAATGAGCTACTGATAGGATAATGTTTTTGAATTAAATTGTCCCTTCTGAGAATTTCCGCAATATTATAAATGCGAAGAGTGTCTAAAGACCCTAGTAAAAGTATCATCAGCAATCGTCGTAAAACAAGCCATCAAAGAAATAAATTAATTTAATTACTTTGCAAACATTGCTAATAAAATTTTAGATTAACTCATCTGTGCATTTTATTTGTAGCATGTCCCCACTTTAATCAATTGCAACGTGACAAATGATATTAAGTTTTGGTTCTGACATCAGACGAGAGCTTGATGGATGCGCGACCGCAAATTAAACTACACGCGGTACTTCAGTGACGTCTTATAAATTTATATGTTAACTAGCATTGCGTGCGGCTCCGTCCGCGTTCAGATGACCAAAAACCATATTCTTAGTTTTTACATATTAGTATACTCTTACATTGCAGTTTTTGTATTTTTTCTCAGAAATGAGACATTTTTCCCCGGTAAAAAGTATCCTATATGTAGACCCGGATAACCAGCTATCACCATACCAAATTTCATCAAAATCCCTCCAGTGGTTTTTCTGTGATGCGGTAACAGACAGACAGAAAGACAGACAAAAATTTAAAAGCTATAGATTTGGTCTCTGTATCGATAATAATGTTTATTTCAATAAGATTTTCTAAAAAATATCTAATGTACAGTTTCGGCTTAGTTACAATTTTATTATAGGTATGTATAGATTGCTACACACTTCGTTCGGATTCTATTCGGTACAAACAAACAAATCTTTCCTATATATAATATTAGTATAAATTAAAAGTAGTTGTAAATTGTGCTTTTAGTGATAATTTACGGTTTACCCTAAATTAAAGCAGCAAAAATAATAAAGTAATCTAAAAAACTAAAAAAGGCAAAGCAAACTTTTACCAGATGTACCACAAACATTTAAATTTCAAACTAAACTAGTACTGTCACAATAATTCTGCGTGTTCCAGTCGGCCCTGTAGCGTGAAACACTGGCGAGTATTTCCTACGAACTACTCTGTCTTTTTAGTTTACTCTACGCATATTATCATTTTGTATGTAACTTTATTCATATCACTATCATTTTTTGCTAGCAATGAAGTGAGGGTGGGTATGTTTTGTTTAAAAAGACCCAACATATTCTAAAAGTTTCTGGAAGACAGTTATGGAAGTCAATAATAATATAAAGCTCTTAATCGTCATCCAGGTTAAATCGCTGAACTTAGCTCTTTGAATGGTTATTTCTGTAATAGCATATTATTTTAACCCCTACGAGGAATTTTTTAATACCCGCTAAAAGCTTAAAAAATGGCGTATTTTTTACAGCAAGTAACATTTTTTTAACGGCGAAAACTATGTGAATATCAAGAACACTACAATGCAATAAATCAATTAGCAAATTGTTAATGATACATAGAATTATTAGTAGAATACCTTATATATCTATAGAGTATCATTGATCAGATTTTGATGTAACTCTGGTGGTTTATCCTGTATACGCCTGCGAAGGTATCTGGCGCAAAAACATTTTTTTTCTTTGGACTTTTGTCTTTTATGCGTTTAGGAACAAACGTTGCCAATCAAACTTCGAGACGCATCCAAGCGAAGCGAGATGAGGTCGCTAGTTAATTATAAAATGTAATTAATATGTTTTTTAAAATAACTTAAACGATAATGTTTTTTAAGTTTAATTCAAAGGAATTGTCATAAAACAAAGTGTTGGTTTTTAAATCACAATTCGCTTTTAGTTTTGTGTTTAGGTTCACAAAATAATGACGGATTGTAACAGTTACCAATAAATTTTAATCATTTCTTATTTCATTTATTAGTAATTGTGTGTATATGATTGTATACGATTATAACATACGTAAAACATTCTTCCAAATAAAATAAAGTCTATATCAGTCATATATTCTTTAAATAAACTCTAATCAATATTTGTTTCTAAATATACATTTGAAATATGTGACCTAAAAGCTGTTTTATTTGGAACAACATAAAGACAAAGAAACTGGTTTAACTCTGAGTTCGGAATAGAGTAAAATAAGATTGAAATTTTTTGTAATTTGTAACTGATATTTGAGAATACGTTAGCTGTCACGGTACCAATTAACGTATGTGCAGCTGCATGCTATGACAAGAGTAATAAAACACTTAAAGTTTTCGTAAAGAATTTTTTTATTGAAATAAATTTTCTGTTTTTATGAAATTTATGAGATTACATTTTCAATAGTAAAAATAATGGGGATATCAAAATATATACCTACATATAATAAAATTGTAACTAAACCGAATCTGTACATTAAATATTTTTTAGAAAATCTCATTGAAATAGATGTTATTATCGATATAGAGACCCAATATATAGTTTTAGATTTTTTGTCTGTCTGTCTGTGACCGCATAACGGAAAAACTACTGGATGGATTTTGATGAAAGTATGATGATAGCTGGTTATCCGGGTCAACATATATTATACTTTTTACTGCGGGAATATATCTCTCGTCTGAGAAATCTATACTAAACGTTAAAATATAAACGTCTTTATCATTTTGTTTGTTTCTTTATCACTATGATAATTAAAAAATATTTTAAATAAACAAAATAAAATCGACAAAACAGTATAAAGCCCACGACTGATGTAAAGTAGCGTCGCAACTCGCAGTACAGTGTCAACAATAAATCTATTCCGGCCGCTGTCTTCTCTTGCGTAAAGCAGACAAATACTTCCTACAGCACGTTGTACCTTTATTGTCTGTTAGCTAACTGTCGCTATTATTTTAAGCTACCTTTTGGCCATTTAATTAGCATTTTAGCGTCAAAATTTCTCTTTATTTATCTTTAAATCTTCATTTTAAATACTAAGTATGATATATATTTCATTCTATTACATTAGAAACTAGTTTTTGTACACGGCTTCTCTCGCCTGATAGATTAGTTGTAAAAATATTTACCTAAATATGGAGCTTATTTATTACTTTAGAGACTTAAAAAGAGTGAATATTCTCGAGATTTACAGCACCAATCATTCTTTTATGAATAGGCTACTACTGTATCTAATTATATTGAAGGCTTTATTGTTATTTCTAATAATTTCTGTATAATTCACCTAAGAAAAGCTGAGAACAAAAGATAGTATAAAGTAATATCTTATTATATGTTGATAGAAAGAAATTGTTTGATATATCGCACGCTTAATCATATACTGACCGATTAGTGTTTCGGTCAAAATTTATTTAAGTATACCAAGAAGTTTATTTTAACACCATCTTTCGGCCGATCTCGGAATTTTTATGATAGCTTGTTTCTAGGCGGAGTTATACCCATATCTGTCTCTTTCACACGCAAACGTTTCGGCAAATGTTTTTACGAGACAGAGACAAATATCAGTATGCGTCAAGCACTAAGATCGCGAACATCACGTGTTTTTATTTAAAAGTGTCAAATTAGTAATTAAGTCGCTTTAGTGTAAAAATCAAAGGTAAGTTTTATTGAAATTATTTATAAAAATGTGACCAATTGTTAAATATGCCTATTTAGTACAAAATAGGATCGAACTATTCATGAATTATTTAGTGTTAGTTCTGTTTTATACAAAACATGTTAACAATTCTTTGACTGATTGTGTATTAAGCCTATATTTTATAAAAAACTACCGTTTTGCCGGTAGTGTTTTGTCGGCTTTAGGAATTAGGTCAGTTTTTTACAAAAGTGTTCTTGAAATTTGAAGTCGTACTTTGTTATGATTCTTTATTTTATAAAACACAATTGTCTAGTATAAAATTGTTGAATGCATATTAGATATTGTGTCACTTATAGATAAAAATAATTTGTTTAAAAGAAATAAGAAAGTAACCTAACTTTTTTTCAGAATGTCTTCAAGGTCGAAAAAGATAATGGAATTGATTAATTTTACAACTGAACCTGCTCATGATACAAAAGCTCAAATTCAAGATCCCATTCTGAACCCAGACCCTAGTCAATCTCCTATAGATGAAGATAGTTCAGTTCAGAATGATGTAGTTGATGTCGCGGTAAGTACTCGTAATTATTATTTTATTCTTTTGACTGGTTTCTCCCTTTTTAATATGGTATTTTTATTTTAAACTAGAATTGCGCACGCGACTTCGTCGCGTCTTTAAGTTTTCCTGTCATTCTCTATTTTAGGTACCCCTTAGGGGGTGTAATTGTGAATACTAGATGAATCATGTCTTTTTAAACCTTGTATTTCGTCATCTACTTTTGACGCTGACTATATTATAACTACCTATGTATGTACTGCCTGTCTAGCTATCTATCTACATACATACACACTTGCATGATTAAGAAGAGAAAACAATAAATTGTTTTTTTACAGATGTTACGTGATATTACTAATAAACTTGAAAACCAGCGTTATTACAATGCTACGGACTTTTTTGTTAACTACAATGTTTCACCCGTACATTCTGGTGAAATAAGTGCAGATATCAGCGACAATGACGATCCAACCTATGATAGTCAAATAAAAAAAAAAGAAAATAGAACCAGTACATCCTTCATCACGTCGATCAACATCTAGCTCCAGCAGATCCTCATCCTCCAGTTTAAGCAGCTCCGGCAGTTCCAGCAGTTCCTCATCTTCATCTTCTGATGATGATACTGTGGTACAACCTTCTACTTTCGATCACGTGGATGATAATACTATCAATAACACAGATACTACAGCTAATGGACAGTCAACAAACGAACAAGAAACAAGTAAAATTGAAAACTCTGAAATGAACGAACTCAACATAGAAGAAGAAATAGAGATTATTAAGAAGAAAGGTAGAAAGCGCACAAGTAATCCTCAAAAATGGAAACAAAACTTAAATAAAATTCTAAGAAATTCTGGACGATCTTATGAGACTACGAAAAAGAAAACTGTTGCGGCTCGTGAAGTGAAACCACCTTGTACAGACAAGTGCAGGCTTAAATGTTATGAAAAGTTTACATCTCTTCAAAGACAGGCTATTTTTGATACCTATTGGAATATTGGTGAACTCAATCTGCAGCGATCGTTTATTCAGTCTTGTATGTCCGATGTTACTCCTAGGTATAAATATACAAAAGCCATGCGCCCGAGGCAAGCTAATAAAGCTTTTCATTTTATAGTAAATGGTAGACCAATCCGGGTTTGTAAACCATTTTTTGTTGGTACGCTGAATATATCCGATCGTGTTATTCGTACAGTAATCCAAAAGTGTCAAAACCATGGAGTTTTACAAAATGATCGAAGAGGTAAACACGACAACCACACCACTACTGATGAAACACTGATTTCAGACATTAAAACTTTTATAGACTCAATACCAAGGGTTCCGTCACACTACACAAGGCAAACATCTACTCGCGAATACATAGACGGGGGCAAAACTATTACAGATCTCTTCAATGACTTCAAAGTAGCGCAAGAGAAGAAGAGTAAGCCCTATGGTAAGTATTGCATGTTTTACCGTACATTTACTAAGGAATATAATATTTCATTTTTTTTTCCGCGAAAAGACCAATGCGATCTTTGTCTAGAGTACACAAATTCAAACGCAGAGCAAGAAAGTATGATTCATGATAAGTATATAGCTCATATAAAAGAAAAAAAGCTAAGTCGTAATGAAAAACATGATGACCGTCTCAAAATAGACGACAAAAATAAAGTCTTAGTGTTCGACTTGCAGGCGGTGTTACAATCGCCACGAGGCGATACATCAGCTTTTTACTATAAATCTAAATTAAATAGTTATAACTTTACCATCACACTCTTAAACAAAAAAGTTGAACCCCAGATTAAAGATTCCTATACTGATGTAGAGTGCTATTTCTGGAATGAAACTGATGGCAAACGCGGTGCTAATGAGATAGACTCCTGTTTATTGGATTGCTTTGAGAGACTATGTTGTGAAGCAGGGGTAAGTGCTAGTAATAGTGCTGGCCTGAACTTGATTCTGTATTCAGACAACTGCTGCGGTCAAAATAAGAATAAATACATAGTAGTGCTTTATCTCTATGCTGTAACCCATCTGAATATAGAATCAATCACGCACAAATTTTTAATTAAAGGTCACACTCAAAATGAGGGTGACAACATTCATAGCCTGATCGAAAAAGAAATTAAAAAGAACTTAAAATCAGGACCAATTTATTGCCCCCACCAATATGTATCCATCATCAAAAATGCCAAAAAGACTGGTCAAAAGTTCCGCGTACACGAACTTACATACGAATCATTTTTAGACCTAAAAAAACTGCAGGAAGATTGGGGATACAATTTTAATGAAACTGAAGATAAAAATATCATGGAATGATATCAAAGTTATAAAAGTAATAAAAAGTGAACCTTTTTCATTCTATGTGAAAACATCATACAACAAAGATGCAGAATTTGCAAAGATAAACATAAGAAACAAGAGAAAAAAATTGAATTCCCTATCAGAGCTGACAACAGTAAAAGCATACACAGGCAAACAAAAGCTCGGTGAAAATAAAGAGAAGGATTTAAAAGAGTTACTTGATAAAAATTTGATACCCAATTTTTATAAAGATTTTTATGATACGATTCTGTAATCAGGGTGAATACTTGCAAGGTGATAAAAATATTTTGTATGTTAAGTTTAGTCTTGTAATGACTGATTAAGTGCCTAATATTGAGAAAATTGATCTCTTAATTAATAAATAAATACAATTAGGTATTATCGTGATGTTAAATAGATGATAAGTGTGACTGTTGATATTTCCTTGAGAATTTTTATTCAGATTTACGGTTTGTTTTTAGATTATAAATAAAAACTGGTTCCTAATATTGTAAATTTAATATTGATCTCTTCGTTAAGTTTAATTCGTTAATATTATAACCTAGGATAAGTTTTTACTGCTTTATTTTATTAAGTTTATAAATTACATTATTAGGAGTCAAAGACTCTTTCAGAGTTGATTTTAAAGTGCCTACCTATTATATACAAATTGTGTACTGTGATTAGGTATTTGAATATTGTACTAGGATTAAGTTCAATTCGATGTTTAAGACACAGGTCAGCATTTTATTTGAACTTTACTATGTTTTTGATTCTTTTTATTAATGAAAATAATAAATAAAACGAAATATTTTTTATACTTATTTTTTATTTTATATACCTTATAGACTCATATCATAACAATAAGAACATACATTGAATAAAATACGGACTCATTTCTAAATATGTCACCAGTATTAAAATTTTACTTCATAGTATAAAGACCCATACCTTAATATTGAGTATTATTTAGTTATATATTAAATAAAACACGGACTCATTTCAAAATGTGTCACCACTATTAATTCAATGTAACTTTATCTTTTATATTAAACTGACGCATCTTGAGGAACAATTTTTTTAACCGATTAATTTATAGTAAAAAATCTAAATTTATTTAAAATTATATTCAAACATTAATACTCACTTTATCAACTATATCTACAATACATTATTTCATTATATAAAGCTATTTTCTTTGAGTATTATATTCCATTTTGTAAGGTAAGTCAGGTTTGCTAAATTGTTTTTCGCGATTTCCCGAAAAACGTCTTTTTTGAGTTATGTCAGTATATGATTAAGCGTGCGATATAGTCGCATCGTCGAAATATATCGATGCTAAATTTTAGTGCTAATATCTAAATAAATATAAATAAATTAAGTGCTTTATATAGATATGAAAAAACCAAAATTAAATGTTTATATGTATGTGAAATATAATATCCAATTAAAACTACTCTCGTATCGTCCATCTCATTACTCAAATGAAAATATTTTACAATACAAGCTGAAGGCATGTAAACAAGAATCTAATACTTTCTTAGATTTACGCGAATGTTTGACATTTTTAAATAAAACTATCTTTTCGGATTATATCGCGGATTTATTTTGATTTTTGGTTCCCGACGTTTCGAATGCTTTACAGCATCCATGGTCACGGGAGAGACTGAGGTGTTACATGTCTTAAAGATATAGTTGTTACAGACAGCCTACCCACAATTAACAAAATGAAAATTGCACCAATTACATTACAATATTTTTAACTTTAAACATTTTTTATAATTTTAATTATAATTGAATATGGAAAATTATAAAAATAATAGCAAAAATTAAATAAATAATTTTCCATATTCAATTATAATTAAAATTATAAAAAATGTTTAAAGTTAAAAATATTGTAATGTAATTGGTGCAATTTTCATTTTGTTAATTGTGAGTAGGCTGTCTGTAACAACTATATCTTTAAGACATGTAACACCTCAGTCTCTCCCGTGACCATGGATGCTGTAAAGCATTCGAAACGTCGGGAACCAAAAATCAAAATAAATCCGCGAAATAATCCGAAAAGATAGTTTTATTTAAAAACAAGAATCTATGTAAAAGTATAATAAATTTTGATATACCGCTAATTTAATGGCTCACGTGTTTGCGCGTGCACTACCGAACACCATTATGTGTTGCAAAAACAAAATATAAGGCATATAAATGAAAGAGAACATCTAATATATCGTTGTTTATCAGATTCCATCTTAATTTTCAGAATTAGCTTTTGTAAAATATTGAATTAGCTTTTGTAAAATATTGTATTAATTAAGGTAAAACTGTAGGTGAACTTTAATGATAAAAGAAAATATACATTTTGCAGTGATAGTATTAGAAAGATACCTTGTTCGTAGTTCGATATTCGTATACGAAAAAAAGTTAAGTCTATGAAAAATATTTTCCACAACCTAGAAATCAATTGCGAAATATATTTATTGAAATAAACTTTTATCAGTACTTTTAAATAACAAAACATGAAACCTATGCTCAAATAAAATCTTCTATTTTGTCTTCCTTATCATCGCATGTGACAATGGAAACATAATGTCCCAAAATCGTATTCTTATAAACATAGTTATAGTAAGTACACGTTTGGCTCAGTTTATAGTGACCCTACTTGCTGTGCCAGCGATCGCGGGTTCAACTCCCGCTGGAGGCATTCATTTGTGCGGTGACTTACGTTTGTTCTCCAGTCATAGATGTTTATCTTTATAATATGTATTTATTTAATGTTATATATGTGTAATCAACTATCTGGTATCCATAACACAAGCTTCGTAGCTTACTATGTGCAGTGCCAGCGTGTGTTAATGTCCCAAAATATTTATTCATTTATTTATAAATATAAAAATGTGTTTGTCAGTTTGTTTATCACCTTGTCATAATATAATATTTTATAACGTATCCGATATTAAATCATGGGATATCTTATAAGAACATAATTATTTTCGAGCTATTATCATAGATGATGACTTGAAACATTGTTTATTTAACATTGCATGAGTGGTCGGAGATATGCTCTGAAGCCTAGTTGAGTGTAACGTGCTCAAACAATGGGCTCAGCCAACTGACGTTACTCTGCTTAGTTATTCAGGGACTAATTCGCGTTGAAAGTACGTTATGAACTGACTTATGTTCAGTATTCTGTTTTCTTGTCTATTTGTCAAAATGGAATAGCGTTTTGCATGCGTTTGTTGCGGAAGTTTAAGTGAAAAGGAAGAACTTTTAATATCATTTCATATTGTACTTAGTACTCATGTTAGTAAAGTTATATTGATGTTTGGACTTGAAGAATTGTTGTGAAATTTTAAGTATGATCTATTTTCAACCGATTTCTTCAAAAAAGAGGAGGTTCTCAATTCGTGGAATCTTTGCTTTTTTTATGTTTATCGATTACTCGAAGACGCCTGAAACGATTTGGATTTTTTTTTGTTTCGAAGGGTATACTTCCCAGGTGGTCCCATTTAAATTTAATCGAAATCGGTTGAGCGGTTTTTTAAAAAATGAACAATAATTTATTATTTTTAAATAAATTGCTTAATCGAATATCTGATTAAAAAACTTTCTTGTTACTAATTACCTGCTTATTACTTCTACATTAGAAGTGGAAAAATAAAAACTTAAAAAAAAAACGACTTCGAGGCACTTAAATGTAAAAATGTTCTTAAACGTTGTCATGTTGTGTTAAACGGGAATATTCTTAGCTATGTTATGTTATAAAATCGGTCGAAGATGGTTGATTTTTTTTAATTTTTAATTAATGTTTATTGTTTTGTTTGAAATGTTGTGCCAGGCGATACACGAAACACACTAACTGCAAAATATCTGATTAGGTGTCTATAGTAAATGAAAACTACCAATCACTTATTTTTGTACTTTTTAGTGTTTTTTTAAGTCGGTTTTTATTTTATTTTTTTGTATAGCCGTGTGCATTGTAATTTTGGAAGCGATTAAACTATATAAATATCTCGGTAGGATAAGGTACTTACGATAATGTATAAAAATACATAGCAATAAAAAGCGTAATCTATATTATGGATAAAGATAAAATTTCGCGTATAGATAGTTCGTATCCAATGATTTAAATATTTGATTAATGCGTCATATTCATGTAAGAGCACGTGTTTCCAATGGGATATAAGTAAGTATATTGTAAAAAATCAATAATTACACTAGTATTATGAATAAGAAAGTTTGTATGTATGTTTGTTACTGCATCATCCTGTAACAGCTGGAAAGATATTGACGTTTCATACACAGATAGACTATGGCCTGGAGTAACAAATTAGCTACTACTAGCGACTCACCCTCGCTTCGCTCGGGTTCATCCTTAGCTTGCTTCCCGATGCAAACTTTCATCCCCATTTTCACCCTCAAGGGATAATTTCCGAGATAAAAAGTATACTTTGTCCTTACCAGGTTCTCAAGCTATATTCTTACCAAATTTCATCTCAATCGGTTCAGTAGATCCAGAGGTTACCACCTACAACATCACAAACTCACAAACTTTACTTCTTTATAATATTAGTATAGATTAGTTTATTAGGCATTAGTAACAGAATTTGCTAAAAGTTGGCCCTGTACATAATATTGTAAATACAAAAGGCACCCAGTAAAGCATCAGAGTCAAGCGAAGTTAAGTCGTAAGTCGTAATGCGGGCAAAGTCACAGTCTATTACAAGTAAATAAAATTGAAGTGTCTATTTGTAATGTCGAAATAACAGTTTTAGTAAATACAAATGAAAGTATTATATGCGGTAGGTACTTATAAGAAAAACACAAATTTTAAATTTGTTATCTGTCCGTATGTCTGTTTGTTCAGGCTAGCCTCCGAAAAGGCTGGACTGATGTTATAAGAAGTAACTTAGGTCACTTTTATTTTAGAAAACGAATTAGGGTTCCGCGCAAAAAAATTAAAACACATGAAACTGTGAACAAATTCCGCGTACCTAGGGAGTGAAGCGAGGGTAAATCACTAGTACATTATAAGCGTGTATGAAACAAGCGAGGTGAACATAAATAGAACAACATGAGTACGACAATGGCCGCCACGCAGCTTCCGGTCTATAGCCGGACACAGCGGAGGCTCCGCAAATCGACATGTCACGTCTACGTGGAATGTGAAATTTGAATGGAATCTATTCAATATTTCGAACTATTGTATTATATTTAAAATAATGAAATTAATATTTCATATTGTAGTTTAAAAATATTAGATTCTGATAAAAATAGTTCAATTTTTTTTCTATTTAAAAGTTAAAGTTTCTTTCCAATATTAAACTCGAAATAATTAAATAATTTTTAATTTATTACTAGCGACTCACGGGTGGGGTCTGGGAGGACCACCCTTATCCTTATCACTTAGGGGTATGGAAAATAGATAGTAGCCGATTCTCAGACCTACTGAATACGCATATAAAATTTGGTAAAAATCGGTAAAGCCGTTTCGGAGGAGTACGGTAACTAACATTGTGACATGGAAATTTTATATATAACACTAGCGACTCACCCTCGCTCCGCTTGGGTTCGTCCCTGGGGTGGGGTCTGGGAGGACCACCCTTATCCTTATCACTTAGGGGTATAGAAAATAGATAGTAGCCGATTCTCAGACCTACTGAATACGCATATAAAATTTGGTAAAA